CTGTGTCCCAGAATGTTTCCTTCCTTCCTTTTCATATTGGTTCCTTTCCAACTTTTCTACGAAAAAATCCTAAAAGAACAGTGACTGTATACTTGTAGGCAAGAAAATTCCTCTGAAGGCCTCCTCTGCCTTTTGGCTTAAAATGTGGGCAAGTTTGTTCGCTTCTTACTAGATCTGTATTGCTTTTACCTAAGAGTCTTTCACAAACTTTGAATGAAATGAATGCCTCCAGAAGGTGTGGAGGTGTAACTGCTAGCACATCACCGCCTACCCCTCAGGGTACCTATGATCTCCTTTGAGAAGTCTGAGATCAGTGAACTCATCATTCGACACTTGCCACTTTAAATAACGTACAGAGACCCCAACCTGATGTTTCAGTCCCAAGAGAAAAATCTAGAAGTACAGGACACCACATATCCAGGATGCGAGTGCATACTTAAGTAGTTAAGTGAATAAAATTACAAGTGATAAGAGGTTATCTCTGGAGAGGGAAGGCTTAAGGGGGGAGGGGTGGGAGGTCTTCAGCTGCACCCGTGTGTGAGTGCACGTGGGGCAATCTGAAGTTCATACGGCAAAATAGCAGTTAAACCTAGAAGCTGAGTTACACACGGGACATTATTTCACAAAATCAGCAAAAGCTTCCAATATGAAGGCTCTCGGACCACATCATCCCTGCCCCAGGATGGCTTGCTGTTAAAACTTTCATCAGCATACCGCTGAGTTTTGCAGAGTGGAGTTCAGACTCTGAATCTAGCCTATCTGGTTTGAATTATTGAGTCCACTATTCAACGGATGCATAATTTTTAAAAAGTTGTTCAACATCACAGTGCTTTTCTTGCCCCATTAGTTAAATGGGAATGATACTATAACCTACTGTAAATGTTATGAGGATCGAATAGCCTGATACTCCTGAGGTGCTTGTGAAGGAAGATAGCTATTCTAATAGAAATACCCTAAGACAAAGAAGCCACTTGATCTTAACTGGATGTATGTGCAAAGACCTCTGCTAACTTCAAATTCACAAACACTATGATGGCATATTTATTTGCCCCATAAAATGAAACCAGCTCCCTTTATATTTCCTTTGAGTACTAGCACATGGAATGGTTTTCACGAATATTTTTGACCAAAGATGTATGTACCCACATATTCACGTATAAACCTATTTTGTTATCAAGTTCAGGTGGCAATAGTTCAGCCAGTGGGGGCTACTGAGCTACCCCAATCTGATGGGTTTCTGACTTTGAGGCTGAGTAGTAAGAATAGTGTAAAATTTCATTGAAAATTTATTTGATTTCTGAGCTTTACATTGCAATGGACATATGAACATGCACACATACATAGGTCGATCCATTTTTCTTTTTTATTTATTTATTTTTAAAAATTTTTTTTTCAACGTTTTTTATTTATTTTTGGGACAGAGAGAGACAGAGCATGAACGGGGGAGGGGCAGAGAGAGAGGGAGACACAGAATCCGAAACAGGCTCCAGGCTCTGAGCCATCAGCCCAGAGCCCGACACGGGGCTCGAACTCACGGACCGCGAGATCGTGACCTGGCTGAAGTCGGACGCTTAACCGACTGCACCACCCAGGCGCCCCGGTCGATCCATTTTTCAAATCAACCCGTCAGTTCC